ACCCGCGCTTGCCAGTTAATAGTTGGGCGCTGTCATGAATGCTCACTCACGAGCATCATTTATTTTATTTGTATTTCATGCGCAGGTCAAAATACGATTTATTTCTTAAAATTGTGTACCATTTACTAAATTAGAATTTGGAAGTGTGCATAATCAATTCTTTTCGCCTCACCAGAATCACAATTAAAGCAGCCTGCCCTATGGATCTAAGAAAGTTTCCGATGGACACTCAACACTGTCCTTTGACAATTGAGAGTTGTGAGTACTTCTAGCAGTTCTAAAAAAAAATGATAATTTAGACACCACGCCAGAGATTTCCCATGCGTTCGGACTTTTATAGGTGACACTTCTCTGAATTAGTGTTATGACAATGACTTTCAAAGAAACAAACCGCAAACCTACGTCGGTATATCATGGATATCAAAGTTTGTGTTTCGTTTTGAAGTAAACTGAGACGAGTTCAAAACAAGCTATTTGATGTGATAACGTTGAGATTGACGATGACAAAAAAGGCAACAGAGATTATCATGACGAGGATAACTAGACCATAAGGATGACGTCTGTGGTTACGATGACGATGCTGACGTTAAAGATGACTCTAATGCAGACCCCGATGATTGGTAGGACGTAAACGATAACGGCTGAAAAAAATTCTTCATTTGACTCTGATAATGACTTCCGCTCAGGTCATCGAAACGTCAGTCACTTCTACCGAGAATAGTCCTTCTCGAGACTTCTCTCACCTGAACGATCAGACTACACGATAAAATGATGATGATGATAGCCACTTCTTACTGATTCTACTACCGACCTTCTTTATGGTTTAAACTGTCATTTTCCATGTGATAATTTTTCTCAACAGACGGTTACAGTGCTGACCACATCAGATTTAGATGGGAACAGGACCTCACTGATGGGATGTCATTTGTTCCCGCCAAATTGAAAATGTTGCCCCAATACAATTTAGTCGAGCTGAGCTTGACAAAGGATTTTAACAAATACGTTGTTGGTGAGTAAACATAAACAGAATTCTGATGAGAGACATGCTAGTTATAGATGAACGAAATTACAAGTTTCTTTACTAAACAATTTAGTCGAGCTGAGCTTGAAAAAGAACAAATACTTTGTTGGTTAGTGTGTAAACAAAATTCTGATAACAGGCATGCTGATGATGAATGCTCGAAAATATTACTTTATAAACAAAGCTGTTTTCGGAATTCAAACTCTTCATCGATGAAAATTGTTAGCGCTTACATGTAGACTGTTCAAATATTTTCAGCTATGTCAATTGTTTCTTATTTTAATTTATTATCAAATGAGACTAAAATTAACAAACTGGAAAGTCTTGAAAGTACTTCTTGTTGCAATTCCCAAAAAATTGTGTGGCGCAAATTAATATTAACCGTGAATTCAAGGCAATTTGCGATAAGCGAGGCAAATTAGAATTCATTGTCGGAGAATGGTGGCGTTGCCCAAAAGAAAAATCGTAGCACATTTCAATGACGTAAATTTATAAGTTACAATCATTTAATTACCACTGATATTTTATGTACGATGAGTAAACTAAATGGTAAGACTAATTGACTTCTTCCATATATCTTACGCTAGGAAACTGGTCCTTCATAAAGGCGATATTTACATTTCAACGAATGTCCAGTTATTTCTTCGTCCACGTGTATGCACCATGTGCATTGATCGTTATCATTTCTTGGATCTCTTTTGTGCTGCCACGCAGTTCTCCTCCTGCGCGTGTCACCCTGGGAGTTACTGCTGTCCTTACTGAAGTTACCATCCTAAATATGCTCAACAACTCTATGCCAAAGGTAACTTGCGTTGAAAATTGTTTTTGATATTTAGTTTTATAGAAGCAGAGTTCAACCAATGTTTAATGTGCTAGCCAGTTTAACTGACTGGCGAACTGGCATACTGTCAGACTGATTTAATAGTTGACTGAGTGGTTGGGTGCCTAACTCACTAACAGACTGACCGTGCTGACTAACTCACTAATGGACTGACTGCACAACTTAGAGTTTAACTGACTGACTGACTGTTTGACTGCTAACTAACTGAAGAGCTGAATGAAAAGTTGACTGATGACTTGAAAATTATTTACTGATTGAATGACAGGTTTTGCCCAACTTTATTCGCTACACACTATACATGACCAGCCTGATAGTCATTCACTCGCACAAATATGAAAATAGCACAAAATACGAGAAAGAGAGAATAGAAAACAAAGGAAAGTTAGAATTAAGAAATGTCTGTTTTAATCCTATGCAGGTAAACTATACAAAAACCATCGACAAGTACCTCATCGGGTGTTTTCTGTTCGTGTTTGCCTCATTGGGAGAGTATTCAATTGTGTTATTTTTGGCATCCAGAATGAAAAAATATCAGAAAATTCAAGAGTTAGAAAAGAGTAACCACAAACCCAATAACAAAGACGCCTCTGATGATAGCAAGGAATGGAGAAACGGAGACGGGGTTACAAACAGAGTAAGTGGAATGGTAATAAAGGGCAACTGTTTTTCATTAACAGGGAAATCGGAATTTTTATCGCAAAATAATCCAACTTCCTGGATAAATGGAATGGGAAGGATATGTAGAGGTGTAGGATAAATACAAAACGTTGATGTGGTTTTCGGTTTTAAGGAGAAAAATTAAGTGCACATGTGAACTTCGTTTGTGGTGCGGTTAGCTTGCCAACGAAATACTTGTGGCTCTGTTGATAGAGTATCTTGCTTGACATATGAATGTATTGAGTTGATACGAGTCCGTCCCTTAACTTCTCAGTCGAGCAGGAGGTGGTAAAGAGGGCGATAGTTAGGGTTGATGTTGGGGGGAAGATTACAAGACGAACTTTCAATACAGTCGAGATGCATTAGCACAATACTCGCTACTCAGATTTGTATCCGAACTTACAATGCGAAGTGAAGTACTTCGCGACCATTCTCCCTCCTTTCCACAACAAGAATTGTTATGTTTACCGCGGTACACGGATAACTCTGAACTGATGTTCAGGATTTTTCACGATGCATGCTTGCTTCAAAAAGGAACTTATGATTTTTGAAAGGGGATTGGGCACTTCATTTTTGGTTCCAAGAAGTTACTTTAGGGAATGAACCCATAAAGCTAGGAAAAAATACGAAAATTTTCATCAATGAATTCTCATCGCTGCCGTTTTAATGCACAGAGAGGCAATCCAGACAAGATATGCAGCACACAGTTAGAAATGATGGAATTCGCAAAAATGGAGCAAGAACTGATGATAAATGATCATCATGAGGTTAAAGCTGCGCGAAGCAAATGGCTGAGCCTCACGAATTGGAAGAACCGTTTGTACACAGAGCAAGCTGTTTTAGCTGTCGATGAACTGTCTTTGATAGTGTTTCCCATCAGCTTTGGCATATTTAACACCGTTTATTGGATGGCTGTAGCACGCGATATGTAACTGCAGGTCAGTTTAAAGTAAACATTAATTATGAGCGCAGCTCACACGCAGGAGTTCCTTTTCGGCAAAGGTTTAACGAGCCGTTTGTCCAAAAGTTTTTTTTCCATACGTTTCTTAGGTTTTAACGCACGCGATTACAATTTATGCCAAGTTCGGCACATGATGAATTCGGCGTCTCAATCAAAGCCTTTACAAAGTTACAATTTCAGATCAAGCGGGGCGAGAAGAACGGTTAGGCTGTTCCAAGTTGAAAAAGCATTTGTTAGTGATTCAAACGCGGAACTAAGCATGTACTTACATGAGGAAAATGCTCTAGAAATCATCTTTAGGTAATGTTTATTTCCACTGTGACGCTAGTTGTAAAATATATACTACTTCTTCCGTTGTGGGATTCCAACGAGTAACATAACCGTTCTAAGATTGTATCACTGTTTCATCATGATTACAAACGCCGTCATTTTGAAAACGACTCAATAACCTGGCCGTATACAAAAAACGAAAACAGCCAGTGCTCTGGACATCACAAACCAAAGACAAACGAATACGCCAATAAAATAATCATTTTATACAGGAATGTATCATTGAAAAGCTCCTGATAATTCCAGAAAGATCGCAAAACATAGCAAAAAGACGAGTAAAATCACGCACCTCTAAGGTCAGCGGCCAGGTTGCTAAGCAAAACTCAAAATGGCGACGTTCGTTGTCGAAATGTTTATAGCATTCAGTTTGAAGACAATTTTTGAAACGTTAGGTTACGGTTTGGAATCTTAAATAGCAGTCTGTGCCAGACTAACGATTTAAGTCTGGCTTCGAAAACAGTCTTAAAAGATATAAAGCGACAACATAATCATGCATGGACTAAAGTGCTACGTGCACAATTAAGTTTCTAACCGAGATATGAACCCTAAGATTTATCAAATACTTTGTTGGGAGTTGGTCTGGAGCAAACAGTACATGAATTAGAGTGACCAAAGTTTCTGGAGAGTTAAATTTATCAGTGTCTGTATCAGAGAGACTTTTTCATCCTTTGAAAGGAGAGTGCCATAGAGCGAGTCTTGCTGAGACCTTCCTCGATAAAGAATTGACTTTCAATTACACTTTAGGTGATTCCTCAGTATTGCATTGCGCATCCTTCACTGTGCATAAAATCACGTAATCAGGCGAATAAGCGCTCGCGCATTCCGAGAACACGGTATTGTTTTTCAAATTATGTATGAAATTGTTCCTTACGCTCCAGACTTTCTACCTATCAAGTTTTTTCAAGTATTACTCTAAAAACTCTTGCTTCCATCTACTGCACAATGTACCGTTAACCGATGACATGACGCGCATGATTAGTGCCATTACAGGCATAAACGGGGTAAGTTTGGCCCATCATATCTCTTAAACAAACACAGTGACCTATCTTTTTATCACATTTTTCGAAACATACATTTTTAGGGAACAATTATAGATGGTAAAAGGAAAGTTAAACGAAATTGTTCGACAACTTTTTTTTCTGAGGGAACCATTTAACTGTAAAATATATAATATAAGGTATAGTACCAGATTGTAAACACAATTTATTTTGCATGGAAATGATATTTGTCCAAGATAAAGAGAATAATAAATGCTTTGGTTGGAAGCCTTCATTGTATTATGACGTTAAAGAAACAAGAAAAATACAAACACGGCCATGTGTATTGACTTGTTTATCATTTTTCTTCGTCGCTTCTTCCATTGCTACTCGTGACATGCGCATAAAGCGTAGCAAATGTCAAGTATCCCGTATGTCCCGTCATCTCCTTCAGCGGTCTGCCTGTCAGAATGTTAGCTTTGTTGGCTTTCTGTGACATAACTGCTCGAACATTCCGCACAAGTCCCGAAGCAGGATCAGTGTCCGTGAAGTGTGGCGCAGATTTTTCCGCCGCTTTTCCGTTCGATATTTCGCTTTTATGTTCAACGTTATCCGTGGGAGTCTTCACTTCACTGGGAGTGTTTTCAACCAGTGAAGATTCCATCAATTTCATATTTACGTGGCCTTCTTGCAATGCTGAATAAGTCTATCCAAATGGGAAGAGAAAAAAGAACAGAAGGCATCAGTAGGGATGAGAGATCTAAACGGGAATACATTTTCACGATGATTTGGTTTCATCAGCCGAGTTAACTATGTAAATTGGTTACCGTAAAGAGTTTCTAAAGCTAACGTTTCGAATTTCAGCCCTTCATCCGAGCGAACGACGAAGGGCTGACGCTCGAAAAGTTGGCTTTAGAAAAGGTCTTCAATGGCAAAGTTATATTCAACTCGGTTAATAAAACCAAATGATTTTATAATGCTTCCCAGTGACGCAACACCACAGTTTCTTGAGAACTCACCCTTTGTTCATTTATAGGAGTATGTTAGACCACCTTTGATATTGAAGATTTCTTAAGAAAACAAAAGTAAACAATTGAAACAAAAATATACAGGAAACAACAAAGTATTGGGTACCGTGTCACATGATTCACTTTCTTCTTCAAGTTTTCTCTTCCGCGATGAGAAATCACTCGGCGTTGGATCTGGTGGTTGTGAATTCTGAAAAGTTCAAAAATGTTTTTAAACTTTATAATTAATAATCTCAAATAAGGACTTTCCTTTGGAATTCTTACTTTAAAATAATAATAATAATAATAAAAACAAACACTCACTTCGGGACCGAAGAAAGGAACTTGTAACGGGACAGTTCTTACTTCGAACGTTCTGGAAAGACACTCCATCACCTCTATGTCTTCAGCATTGTTAAACATGGAAAAAACAGTACTAAATTACAAATTCATAACCATGCAAAGTTTATAAAATTCTCTGTTTCCTATATAACAGCCAAAACAACAACACCCACCCCTTTGTCTGCGTTGAGTTTGGAATATGGACGAGAGAGACAAGGTACTAGTGACTTTAACATTTAGTAAACAGAGGTCTTTCATTCATCAAGATAGAGAATAAGTTTTAAGGAGAGATGTAATAGAGAAAAAAAAAGTCACTTTTTTTGGATGAAGAAATAATTAGGAGAGAAACATGACTTTTTTGTTGAAAACTTTATGTTTAGTGTTCACCTCTAAATCCACATGCCCTTAAAGATTCACAGGTTCTTTGTACTTGTTCAATGCAAGGAGAAAAAGAACAAATCTTTCCACCCTCTGCCTGGTCAAAGACACAAAACATGATGAAAGTTATCACTAATTGTTATCCAGTGAAATGTTTCCTAGCATGGAGACAGTGTGACTGAGTGGTTAAAGGGGGTAAGTTTCTAAAGAAACTGTGGTGCTGTGTCAGTGGGGGAGTGTAACAGGGTAATTTAGTATTATCAACTGAGTTGATAACGTAAATTGGCCACCATAAAGAGTTTCAAAGCTGACAATTTGAGCATAAGCCCTTCATTAGAGCATTGAATTGGTAATCTGGTGGTTCCCAGGTCCAACCCTTCCACACTGCTACTCACTGGATTTGTGTTTGGTTAACGCATATTCAACTTCTTGGCTGCACTTTGCATAATTAGCCAACTGGCCTGCCTCCAGCCAGTTGAGGTTTTTTAAAAAAACATGTTTATTCACAATGTTTCAGTTTTTTTGTGTTGGCCCTGAAAAGCCCCATGGAGGGAGAGGTGGGGGTGGTCAATTAAGATTATATGTACATATATTTACATACATAAATACACATCTGTACATCCCACATGTCATTTGTCCATTATCATTGTTGATAATTAGAGAGTTACTCACTTTGAGGGTTTCTTTGGAGTGTTTTATTGCCTCCCATGGAGCAGGTAAATCAAGAAAGACTGAAAGAAATGGGACCTCAGTTTACTAATCTTACTGACTGACAAAAACAATCCTTCAATATAAACACTAAATTAATGAGAGAATTCTTTTCATATCCTTTGATAACATAATTCCAAGGTTGACATTTTCAATGTCAGTTATTTCTCTCTCCAGAGGAACTCATTCCATTCACAAATTCTCCTTGTACCAGTTTAGTAAAATCAAATCAAAAGGTTGCCTTTACTTTTCCTCCAACACATTTGATTCAAACTCAACATTATCCCTCTTACTCATTAATTTTTATCGGAGACTTAAACAAAAATCAGATCAATTCAAAGCAGTAAATGTCAGTCTCATGCAATAAATCAAAAGTAAATATCAATAAATAATTTAAACAGAGAAATTTCAAGATCATAAAATATTGTAATTCCTCCTTCCACACTGACCTGCATCTGCAACTTGATGAAGTTCAAATCCTTCCTTGCAAATATCACGACATCTTACAGTTACCAGATGACCAATTTTGTGTTCCTCAAATTCTTTCCTGTTGAGAGCCAAAAGTGGATGAAATATGATAAAGTAAATTGTTTATGCCTCTGAGAGTATTGGAGTTTAACATTCAAGAAAACAACTCAACCAGATCACAGTTATATCAACCTTAGAGTGTTGTAGACTGACCTGGCTGTTTCAGCTCTTTCTGAATGGAATTCAAATGTGTGGAGATGACCAGATGGAGCAATTGTCCTTATTAAACAATGAGACATTGAACCACTTCCAGTTCCTGGTGATTTAAAGGAAATAAACCGAGCATTTGTAATCCAACTTTATTAATCTTTTTAAATGAGATTTCGATGAGTGTGAGAGTGATAAGTTGTTTCTAAATGATGCAGATTGTATTTTAAAAAAGATTTCTTTGTTTAGACCTGTTGTTGTTCTGTTTATAGTTTTATCAATCATGTCAATTTTTTTTGATAGAACGTTGTGGACTCTTTTATTGCCATACAATTACTTTGATGTCAGGTCAGAGAATTTGGTATTGGATCAACTAAGAATCCTCTCATTGACAATTCTGTCTTAATTCTCATCACTTGTCTGCTTGACATTGAATTGATACTGCAAGGAGAAATTTTGTTTTGGTCACACATAGGAGTTAACCTTTTAACCCCAAAGAGTGACTAGCATCTAATATCTCCTTACAATATCACCCCTGAATCATGCAGTAAGGTCATGAGAATAAAGAAAATTATCAGAGGCAAAAGAAGCTGTTGATTGTTACACAAATTCTCCTTGTCAGCACCTTAAGGAATGTATGGGGAACAGTATGGAGAATATGCATGCTGATGTTAGGGTGTAAAGGGTTAAAGGATTAGGTATGATGCCTACCAGACTCAACAACAACAGATCCAGGTTTAAGAGCCAACCGTAGAATGATCATACTGATGTCTGTAGAATAAAGAATCTGTGTTCTGTGAGGAAGGTTTATTGTCCATAGTTCAGGTGTAGGATGAAGAAGGTAGACCCAACCCTTTTTGTTCAGTGAAAACATCTGAAATTTATTATCAATATAAAATACATTATTAATCAACTGAGAAATATATCTGTTTTTTTTAATATTACTTTAACTTCAAATTCCATTATGTAATGGATAACTGCTGATACCCATTCCCAGTTCTTGTAGCACTGAGTCACTAGGATCTCACAGACCGAACAGACCAATATGGCACCAGGGGCACTTTTATTAAAAATCATTATAAAAATAATCCTTATAGCTGTGCAGGACTTGACACAGTGATTAGGGCCATGAAAAGCTATAATGAGTCCTAAGCAAAGACCCACAGGATGCCTACTGACTGAATACACGCAGGCAGAATGGAGATATCTCTGGCCCCTAGTCATTAAGTATGGAACATGTTGCCCTTGGTCTCAACACATCATGACTTCAAGCCAAAATCTACAGTCACACAAACTTTCCCACACAGTCTATAAATACAAAGCCTTGGTTCTCACAGTATCTTCCTTCTATACAAAGTGCAAGTCCATTGCAGGAAACTCCCCCACCTCCCCACCACCCCCAGCATATTTTTCAGGTTTCACTCTGAGCTCACTAATAACATTTTATACCCCTGCAGATGAAGGGAGGCACTTTGGCAGTAGCATCCTACCTATGAATTGTAACACGCTTAAAGCTGAGCAAATCTTGTCTTCCACATGGCTCTTCTATAAAATCCAAGGCCAGCTTAATAGTTCATAAGGTGACAATTTAGTTTACCTTTGTTCCAAACTTCCTTCCAACCATGTCTGAGTGTGGAAGAGCACCATATTTTGTCTGATGTACCTTTCCTGGTGTAACTGTCAGAGTTTGCATAGAGTTATGCCCCTAGGGGTACATTGATAACAAAACATAAAGAGCAAATCGAAAAGGATGTATATTGGTATCAAGGGTAAATAAGAATATTTAACACTTCTGGACCATACCATATGCATAACGTACTTCAATAAGCATCGTGAAATAAGCCGGTGCTGAAGGAATTCTCCAGCGATCGTTGGTAACCTAATCATTTAATTAGATTAGTCATTCCTTATCTCAAGTTATGAAGTCCACGTCGTAGATTTTCGGCGAAATACCATCAACTGGATGCAACCCAACTGCAGTGTTACAAACCTCATGTGCAATCTGCTGAATCAGGTCTCATAGGAAGCTGTACTCGAGAGATCTTTATTATGTTAGATTTGGCTTTCATTATGAATCATATACTCACAAGGAACAGAATAACAGTATCCCCTTCAGATATCCGTTCTTTATATTCCGCAAAACTCATGGTTCATAAATTAATTCTCAAAGAGAAATCGAAAATCTAAATGCTCTCTCATGGGGAAACCCGCTGAATCTATGTTCCGTCTGTACATGGTAACGACTGCCTTGAATGCTGGGAATTTTAAACAGTTGCTAACCGCGAAAGGTATACAAATATGGCGGATTGTGGATGAAAAGTCAAACTTGACATTGACTTTCATCTAAAAAATGGATGATGAAATAATCGCTACTGAGGCGATGACTATGTGCAATGGAAATAAAGAGCTATGGTTGAAATTTTCCAAGAAGAACATGACAAACATATTGCGGAGAAATTATCAAAATGTCTGATCCAATTAGCGAGGTGGCCTTTTCGCAGCCAAAACTTCCAGCCATCGGAGATTCAAGGAGTTTGGTCTCACAACCCACCATTACCACTTCTTCAGGCTTGAGTGATGCTAGCGATCAAGAGAGGCTGAATACTTCTCGGCCTAAGAGTAGCGTCGATTTGGATAAAGGCGATGTTCAAATTTTGCTGCAACAAGTTTCACGCAGTTTCGTGAACGCTTTGCAGCTAAACACGAAACAGTCCTGGTATCACCTCTGCGAAGTTCTAGATATTATCGAGCCATACTCGCACTTTTTGAGTGGAACTCCACAAATAAGGCATTACGTTGACCGTGTTTACGTTAAAATCAAAGCAAGCGGGGATGAAAATGATTATGGATTTGTGGAAAAGAAACTGCTGGCTGTCTTTCCTGACGAGTTATCTGTTTCCCTCGGAGGTACTAGACAACAAGCTTTCTCATTTCCAACTGAACCTTCTGTGGACAGTCTATTTACCCCAAGGGGGCAACAGTCATCGTTATATAAGGGGGTAAAAGTCCCCCGTGGGGTGCCAATTTTTCCTGGGGGTACCACATACATTTTTGATCATTCAGATGGAGATGCAAAAAGTCATGGTCCGAAGCCATTGTGTATGGAAGATCTCAAAAGAGCTCTTCCAGGAGTAGTGCGAGAGATAGCTATCAGAGAAGCCACACTGGGAGGATCATTAGGAACAACTGCATTAGCATTGGATATTGATCTCCCACAAACACATGTTCCCGCTCCTCCATCTATTCCAAGGGGGTCACCAAGTTCTCCTGTCATCAGGATACCATTGCCTGAATCAGGGAGGGTCACTCAACAGAGTGACGTTAAGAGAGGGATGTTGGGAAAGACTGGCAGAGAAGTTGTGGAAAATTTTGTCAAAGGACGATTCCTTGGTCAAGAAAATTTTGCCTTTTTGAATGTTGCACCTTCAGTGCGTTATGATCCATATAGCCTGGTGGTTGTCCCTGAGGATAAAGTGAATCCTGAACATTATGTGATTTCATCACATTGTGTTTTGCATGTGAACCCTAATGGTCCATCAGAGACACAATCATTGGCAGAATGGTACAGAGAAGCATGCTTGTTTAAAGCAATTTCAAATGTTGGTTTTTTCAAGAACTTTGTTGTCACCAAAATGTTCAGGAAATGGAAGGACATAAAGAAATTCAGTCAGTTTCTCAAAGTTGAAGCTGAGATTGAGAAGTCTCTCATTTCAAATGTCCCCAGTTTTGGATCAGCTTTAATAAGGATTTCAAGTCTCCTTCAGGACCTGGAAAAGGTCACTTTTTTACCATTTCAGATCAATTTCTCATATTCCCTGGAGGAATTTGAGGACACTATTTTCAAAACTTGTGGCACAGGTTATAAATACATGGAAAAGTTTTTCAGCTACTGCCAAATGATTGTGGATAAAACACAGGAGAGTTGTTTTGAATATCTAGAGTACTGTGAAGGGCAAGTAAAAAATCACCGCCATAACTATCAGGAATCACTAGCAGTTGCAAAAAAGAAGAGAGCAGTCAGACAACACAATTTGAAGCTTGCTCGAGATGAGGTTAAAAGGCTTGGAACCTTTGTACGTTTGGTGGACCACATTATTGTTTCGAATCTATTGAAATTAGTTCAAAGGAACATTTCTAGATTTGTGGATGAAGCAATGCCTGGCCCACGACCTGAAAGGGATGGGCTTTTTTCGGCTGAAATTGTGTTTGGGGATGACCACAAGCTTACTTTGTCGCCATCTGTAAAGCAGTTTTCTCATGCTGTGTCTGTTGCAGTGGGGAGTGTTATAAGTGCTTCCTGTAATCTCTCACATGCCATGGAGCTGGGAAGCAAAGCTAAACATTTTCAGGAGAAAGCAGAGAATGGAATGCATGAGCAAGTGGATTATAGTGAACCAAATGATTTTGATTTAAGTGACTCCATGAAACAAACAAAAGCTGGAGACAGACCAAGTGACATTGAAAAGCTGATATATGGTACTGACAAACAATCTGAAACCTTAATGACTGGTGGACAACAACCCATGTCTACCAACACGGTAAGAAATGACTACCAGGGTACTTGTTAGTAACAATATTATTATAATTATTGCAGTCCGAGGTACATGAATAAAATTATAATGAGAGAGTGTAGGTGAGGGTATTCTTGAAAGATGGAGGGGTGAGTTTCTAAAGAGACTGTGGTGCTGCATTGGAGTGGTGTGTTGCAAGATACATGTAATTTGGTTTTATTAACTAAGTTGGTTAACTGCAAATTAGAGAGGGGCAATTTTGGGATTTTTGGTTTTGCAGTTTTGGCTATTTTTTAGAATGGGTTTTAGGTTTCAGTGCCAAAAAACTCCAGTTTTTTTGGTTTTGGTGTTCATTGTGCTTTGCACTGGATTTTGTTTTTTTTTTAAATTAGCATTTGGTTTTGGGCTTTCGTAAAAACCATAATGGACTTTCAGATTTGGTATTCGATGTGGTTTTCTGTTTTTCCTATTTTCCAGTCTAGTAGCCATGAAAGCTCTATTTGTTCTACTTGTCACCGACAGTATAGGATTGGGCTAATGCTCGAAACGTCAGCTTTTTTACTCTTTACGGTGGCTAATTTACGTTTTCAACCCAGTTGTTAACACTAAATACCCTCATCCAGGTACTGCTAGAACTACCCTCATCCAGGTGATTGCTGCACATGTACATATACATGTTAGAAGTTGCTTGTGACTGTCAAGCTTAAGACTTGTTCAATATCTCCTAATTTCCTAATTAAAAATACACATAATGCATGAGCTGGGACAAGTAAGGAGCGGGAATGGTGAAGTGGTACTCTCCCACCGACGCAGCACCACAGTTTCTTTAGAAACTTACCCCTTTATACATTTGGGTTGAGTTTGTTGTGGGTTCTTGTTCTTGCTCTGACCCTTTTTCTCCATATCCTTGGGTGTTGTTGCCTTCACAAAAATTGACATTCTACGTTCTACCTGGAAACAGTGGACAAGAAGAGCCACCTTGTGGAAGTCATCTGCTAAATTCTCATTATTATCCCATTAATTTAAGGCTATGTACTCTTTGGATGGGTTATTTCACAGAACAAATCTGCATGTTTGTCTTTTTAGACAACACATCTGCAAACCCTGCAAAGAGATGATCAAGGTGATGTCCTAGAAATTCTTGGAAGCCCAACCACAGTCACAAGGACAGATGATGAAATCTATGAAGACTTGGATGGTTTAAATTCTGATCTGTCAAGTGCAAGAGATATGTCAAGGCAGGCCACTCTTCAACTGTGCTTTCGGCAAGAGCCTGATGGAGGCCTTCTAGTGGAAGGGCAACGCTTCCAGGATTATTTAATCGATAGGAGTCCTCTGACCAAGGAGAAACTAATGGAGATAATCCACAAGAAGTGAGTTGTGTTCTCATTGTTTCTTGAATAGAGATATATATATCAAGGAAGTACAAAGAAGTATTTATACATGGCTTATATATATCAATTAACTGAGGCTTCTCTGTTTTTTGTTTCATTTTCTTTAGTAAACAGATCACAGAGGCTTTTCAGCGACAAGCAGATCTGCTATCACAAGCCACTGAAGAAGTGGAGCAGTTTTGTGATGATCACAGTTGGGTGGCTGTAATCCATGAGTTTGTTTCTTCTTGGGGAAGTGGTGACACACATAAGTTGAGAGGTCAACAGACCAGTAAGATTGAGGTATGGTATCATCATCATCATCATTTTTTTTATTTGCCTTATAACAAAAATTTATTTACAGCGGTTATAGCTAGAAGGCAAGGAAACCCGACAAGTAGGCAATTTTTACAACTTAAGTTTCTAAGTTCACCATAAGTATCCACTGGAGAGCAAGGACTGTTACTTAACCCTTTAATCCCTAAGAGTGACAAGGTTCTAATTTCTCCTTATAAAATCTATCCCTTGAATCAAAAGTTTAAGTTACGAGAATTAAGGAAATGATCAGAGACTGACAAAGCTCTTAGTGGTTTTACAAATCCTCTTCGTTAGAATCTAGGAAATGTACAGAGAACAGTAAGGAGAATATGAATAATAATAATGTTAGGGTGTAAAGGGTTTGGAGAAAAAGAATAGCTTGATGCAAATTTGAGGGTAGGGATGCTATATTCCATGTCACTGTGCATCTCTTCAGTGATAGATTGCAGATGATGTCAAGAAGTGGGGCAGCCAAGTATGTTACTGATGTTTGAACCATATTTTGACTTCTTTTGTGATCTACTAATGCACAGACCCATGGCGACATGGAATCTATTTTTTATGAAGTAAAGAAGGACAAGACTGTTCATTATGACATCATCAATGCATCTGTCTTCCATAGCCCACATTGAATTTAAATAAGAACCAGTTGAAATATACATGTAATGGAGTTATTATATAATTTGTGATATTTGCTTCCAGCTCAGATACAAGAATATTTCCACCTGCACTATTTTCATTATTTATAAGAATTCCAGATAACTAAATGGGGAGATGAAACCAATTTTTTTTTTGATAAGTTTTGAGTTGCATGTACAGTAAATGTACAAGATAATGTTGGATGGGTACACAAGTGCACCACAAACATTTAGTCATCTTGAATTCCTCATTGGCCAGATGGCGATATTCAACTAAAAAGTACATGATTCATTTGATTCACTTTGAAAGGGAAGAAGGAGTTATGCTGGTGCAAGTGGACAGGTCTCCCATCATTGCAGCTT